TGCAATTGAGAAAAAAAAAGTTTTAGCTTTACATGGTTACCATTAATTAATAAAATCATGGTTTTGTTAGGAAGAAATTAAACTTGTATCTCAGACAAAGTTTGGCGAATGTGAATATTTTATCACATTTTGCAAAGTTAAACATCTTAGCCGAGACCATGCATTAGCTTGACTCTTAATCCAGTGTACATATTATATAAAGGGTACTGGAATTTAGAAATTGCAGAATGCAAAACTGTCATGTAAAAGGAAATTTTTTTTATCAATGATGTAATCTTTTGAATTAGATTTTACCAGCACAAAATTGTGTAGTAAAGATAATAATTAAGTAGCGTCCTAACCATGTGCTACTTCCTTTTAAACCCTCACTTTCCAACTATAAACCTAGTTCCATCAGCAAACAGTATATAAACTCATATGTGTTTCTGTGTATGTATTTCAGCCTGGTAGATTTCTCTCCACTTAATTAAGTATCGATCCAAGAAAGTATGGTGCAAAATTTAGGGAAAAAAAATACTCAAAAAAGTGGTACTATTACATTATAAAATGGTGATTCCAGAAGAAGGTATAGTTGTGGAAGTCAGTGGTGGGATCAAACCATAGACTATGCCTTTGCTCTCTGTCTCCAGTCCCATTCACGAATACATTTGTTTGTACAAGATAAGGTTCTCCTGAAACATTGCCCAGAAATTCAAAATCTAACTCGTCGTGATTAGGCCCGTCTGCTGTCAACTGCATGCATTTGAAATCAACTGAATACTCAGTGATTGATAACTTTAGCCATTTCTCAGTTAAATAAAGAGCACATTGACTAATTACACAATCTATAGCTGAAAATTACCATTTAAGATTGAAGCCATGATTAAAATGAAAATTTTTCTAACACAGGCAATACTAAATATAGAAGCTTTTTAGGTTAACGAAATAATGCCAAATTAATATACTTACATAATAGGCTGTGACTGTTCCAGCTGAATCACCTTGAACTAGTTTGATTTGTGCACTGATTTTCCCAATTAGATATTTGTTCTTGGACATAAAACCACAACCTGTGAGACCAAACCCTCTTTCATGTCAAAAAATAGCATGGAAAAAAAAAACTAAAACACAAAATGGAAGACAGTAGTGAAGAATGATCTACCTGTTGCGCTGTCAAGGTTTAATATGACATGGTCTTCTTGAGTGGTAATGTGGTCAGGTGCCCATATGGGCTCGAAGAGTTCACTAAAATAGGCAGAAGCCATAACATTTAGGAACATAGCTAGGTAGCTAAAACTCAAGAGAAATATTCTTAACATTGTGAAATTCTGCATTTTCTTGAAAAATTACAAGTGCTAACAAAGTTTGAGGCCAGTTTTTATAGACCTAAAACTGGGCACCGGGCAGCTAAGATGACATGGAGTTTCAGAAAGTGGGAGCAGGAAGATCCAAATGGAAATTAGTATAAGCCTTAATCTGTACAATTTTGTTAGCACTGAACAGTCACTTGGGCAAGTTGGAACTGCAACAACTGCATAATCCCCATTCCTTTTGCTTCCTTTCTGTTTCTCTCTATTTGTCATTTTCTATTTTCAGGGACTTTGGTTAGGGAATTAAAGGCCCCATTAGAGAGGGGATTTGGTTACAGGTATAAGAGAATCTAATACAGACTGGATGTATTAACCACATATATAAAATAGACCATTTTTTTTTTTTTTTAGAATTTGTTCTTTTCGGTTTATGATCATCTATAAGACTATGAAAGATAACCACCCCTGAATGTATTATATATATAAACTGGAGAACTTTTATCATATATTGTAAAAATTTTTGGATTTACCTTTAGTCTTTGCAATTTTTACGAAACAATGGCTTTCTCCAGTGGCTCTAAAAGTTTTAATAACCATTTCTTTTTATTTTTTTGGTCCTATGGAGGAAAGAATAAACCATTCTTTACAGCGATATAAACCCAAAAGGTCTAAAGAAAAAGCGAAATTTCTGTTCGCTGGCATTCTAACATCTTGATAACAAAAAATTGAATAATCAAGTTAAGAGAATAGAATAGCAAAGAATTTATTCCTTTTTCTCTGTTTTGCTGTGGTATTTATTAAAACTTTGCTGTTATATATTTCATATAAAATGTCATGCAGTTCTTTTTCTTACCTTTTTCAGAGCAGTTTGAAAATCATGTGCCATATTTTGAGTCTTGGTTCCAATAAAAAGAGGAAAAAAAATTCCTTTTGTAGTTAAAAAAAATTGAGAATTAATGACGTAGCTGCAATTTCAGCACTTGAACTTCAACATGTTATGTTATACCCGGTCCTTTGTTTCTACATTCATTTATTGATGATTGAATATTATCTACTGTTGCTATAAACTCACAAAAGAAAAAAAAATACAATTAATCTGCTGAGATGGAAAAGAAATTGCTCCAGTATTTAGTTTTAGGGTGAAAATGATAATTATTAAATGGATACACTTGATGGAAATTTGTTCATCTTTCATTTGAGTCAATTTTATTTTGAACTTTTCCCCTCTAAAAATATCCCTCCATGTAGTAACATCTTCTCAGGTTCTTTCTTCTTTATATTTTCTCCCTCCCAACTTTCCTTTTCCACATTTTCCCCCATTTTCCACATTTTTTTGTTGCTGGTATTCTTTTCATTCATTTTTTGTCATTTAGGCTACTCTTACATTTTTTTTAAAAATAAAAATATTAAAAGATTTCGCAGAAAGATAAGCGAATAGAAAAGGAAGGGATAAAAAAAAGAAGAAAGAAATTAGCACTATTACACTCTAGAAGACACAATTAATTATCTGTTTTTGACCATATGACGCCTTTTAGCTAACAATTCTTAGGAAAGACAGAACTGACTTGATGTACTGATTCCAAATACAATTCCTTTTATCTGTGGGGCAACTTAATTTTTCAATATTTCCCAGGAAGGCAATAATAGTGTGTCCTTCAGAATTCCAAATACATCATCAGAAAGGAAGAAAGGTGCTCAGAATTCTATCAATCAAAGGTGCCCGGAATTCTAGGAAGAAAGGTGCCCAGAATTCTGTCAATCAAAGGCATACTCCCACAAAAAAAAAAAAAAGCTTTAAACTGAAGAGGGACAGTTTTGTTAAGGGGAAAAAATTTGTTGAAATTTAGGATGATGGGCTTGTCTTCTGCGTGGGTACCAATCTCCTAAAGAGGTTGGTTCTTCTTTGGCTCTGCTCAAATCCCACTACACACACTTTGCGAACCATTAGTCCAAAGGAATATCCTCATCTTGCTAAGTGAGACAAGATTTCTTAAGAGACTTTTCATGAGTGAGAAAGGGCTAAGAACGGAGATAAACCTCCAGCCAATTATCCGTGGCTCCTTTCTATGATTGTATATTTGGGATTGGCTTTGGCACTCCATTAGTGGAGTGTTAATTCGTTTTGAATTCGAACTCGAGTTAGTTACAATTAAACTGAAATCGAGTCAAAACTGTGTGTTAAGATCGATCTCATTTAATTTACAGCCATAGCCATAGTTACTACTCAAATTGGTGCATGATGTTTGATGACATTTGATTGGTTTGAGAATAGTGTATCATTTGCAAAACGAAAGGAAGAAGAAATGTTTGATGACGTCTGATTTGTTTGACTACATTGGAATGAACTAGAAATTAACAAGAAGAAGCATAAAAGTAAACAAGAAAAGGGAAAAAAAAAAGAAATCGAAACCAATGTAATATTCTCAATAACACGTCTCTATATTTGTGGAATCAGAATTTTTTTTTTCTTTTTTCGTGATTCAGCAAATTTTCTCTCTATTCGGCTTTTTTTTTTCCCCGGTAATCGGGTCGATTGGGACATACGATGTATGGAAGCAGTTTCCCACCGAGAAAAAGCCACTTTTTCGCCCTATAGTTTCTATTTAACAAATTGTTTTTCTCCAACGTAAGAATTTGGCAGCTATCGGACAAACGAAGTCTCAATCAATGGATTGCTTAGTACACTCTTTTCTTTTTTTAATGTAATTATGCTATTATAGTCATCCTATTGTCGTCAAAGTCAATAATCTTTGGATCGTTAGTCTAAAGGAATAACTAAAAGTGGTCCAAAAGTAACCAAAATGAAGGAATTTTGGCCTAAAAAATGGGTTCAATAAATTTAACCAGGTAGATTACGGAGCTATAGCCTCTTAAAGACGATTCAGACACTGTCTTATAAACTCAAAAGTTCTTCTCGAGCTAAAGATTAATAATATTTTTTAAAAATTTGTTGCACGTTCAAGTTTCTTCCAACCTTAGCTTGCCATCGAAAGGTCTTGTGAGGTCCAATAAGACTTGAAAATTTGTTCGACATCAGCTGGTTAATGTTTCTGGATTAGTTGTTTTATGTATGTATTATTGTTACTATCATTGTGGGTTAATTGTAATTTTATCATACTGAGGATTTAGTAATTCAAGTCCTTCACTGAGGATCATGGTTCGAAGACTCGGTTGAGACCGAGACATCTCGGGCTAGATCGCGACGAAACGTTTCCGAGATACGTGATAGGCTGAGACGTCACCGTGAAGGGTTAAAACGGCCGAGTCACTTCGAGTCAACTTGAATTTTTATTATTTTTATTAATTTTTAATTATTTTTATTTATCATATTTTTTACAATTTTTAGAATATTAAATATTTTAAAAATTCACGTCTCGCCGAGGCCACGACCAATATGCCGAGACCGATGTGAAACGGTCCAAGCCGCGACCGCGACCGCGACTTTGAACCATGCTGAGGATCTTTCCCGTGTTGCAATGTGGAGAATTCCAATTAATTGACTAGTTTAGCAAAAGCACATGGGGCAGTGGCAGCCCAAGTATAATTTTTCCACTTTTCGTCAGTTTCCTTGTAGTCAGCCTTTCCCACTTCATAGTATCCCCAATCAGGCAATTTTTTATTTTGAGAAATGAAAGGACATTCATCCTTATATCAGCATTAGCAAGACAGCGGCAAGAAAACATATTCTAGCGTTTACCGAAGATACCAAGAATGGGCAGATCTTGCAGGCAATATTTGGCAATTCTTTCTTGCATTTTTGCTTTTTATTTCTCCCTGTTCTGTGTTTCTCAAGGTAAAGATACACTTGGAGTTAACGAATCCGTACTTGTATACCATGGAGACTTATTGGAGTCTTCCAACCAGCGTTTTCGGCTCACCATCACTCATCCCTATAGCTGGTTATGGTTCCTGGTGATCCAATACATGTCCATGCTTCGATCAATTGACGTCTGGGCCAGCGACAGCTACCAGACTCCAGCCAGCAAAGAGCCTGCATTTTTAACCATGAATGCAGATGGAAGGCTGGTTGTATATGACACTTCTCACAGTCCTGTAATCGTTGTGAATTCTGAACAGCCTATTATGATTAGCAACACTACTGCAATTTTACTTGACAACGGGAACCTGGTTTTGAGAGCACCTGGAGGGAATACTGTCTGGCAAAGCTTTGACCATCCGAGTAATAAGTGGCTTCAAGGAATGAAACTTGGGATTTTGCAATCAGGTACAAGATTTCTAACTTCATCACCAAGCTATAACCAACCTTCTTCTACATTAGGCGTCGATTTGAATAATACCAGGGAGATTACTATTACGCAAGATGGAGTGGTTTATTGGAGAAGTGGGACATGGGATGGCCAAAAGCTCAGCTTTCTTGATATATCGGATAGTTTTGGTTTCAATTTTTACTATGTATCCACTCCAAATGAGACCTATTTCACGTGGAATAGTAGTACTGATCCCTTTGCCTTACTAATTTTTAGCGAAAGTGGGAATATTACAGTTAGTAGTGGGGATTTTACCAATGCACAGGTATTGGCAGTTTGTGATGTAATCACTTACAGGACCGACGAAAGATCAGCCAAAGGGTGTACGAATTCTTGTGGCGTCGGTGATGGATTTAAGGAAATAATGGGTGACTTGGTTGCGTGGGATGAAGTGTCCTATAATGACAATGCTCTTCGCTTTTGTAAGTTGAGATGCAGAAGAAACTGTTCGTGCTATGCTTATTCTAATACTGCATACGATCAGGACGGTGTTGCTATGGGCTGTAAAATGGCTATCAGACGACATGGAAAACTTATTTCTTCAAATAAACAAACAATTTTTGCCCGCGAAAGCTTTGTTTTGGAGAAAGGTACACGCAAACTGTTTCTGTTTTAACTTGTGTCTTTGTTCAAGTGCTTGTTCAACTCCTAATATTAGTTGGTTGAAGTGATTAATCCGAATTCATCTAGATATGGTGAGCACAAATTGGAAAACACCGAAACTGATGAACTTGAATGATGATGATTTCCACTTTTGAAATTAAAAAAAAAGAGAGAAAAAAAAGCGCATAGAAAACTTGTACATTAAGGAACTTTTAATTTCTTTTAGCTATGATATCAAGCTGCAGTATCTTTCATTTTTTCCTGTGCATGTTGTTTGGCTACAACCAAGCTAGGTCTTCCATCTATCCCATCACCTGAGCTTGCTCCATGCCGAAAAAAGAAGTCAGAGACCTGGAAAGTGAAGTTATCTATTGGTGGTGCTCTAGTAACATTTTTGGGGACTCTTACGTTACTTTACCTATGTTGTAATCGACAAAGCAAAATTCGTCGCCATGAAGGTAGATTAATGTTAACTGACTGTCAATCATGAGTTTTTTAGGGAAGTTCGAGCAGGTTTACTGTTGCTTGAGCTATTGTTGCTTGATCTGTCAGGTTTAGAGAAGTTCCAGCAGCTTCATGAAAAAAGGGATGATGAATCATCTGTTTTCGAGTTACCAGCATAGAAATGGCAACAAATAATTTTTCTGATGAAAACAAACTTGGTCAAGGAGGATTTGGTCCAGTGTACAAGGTAACGATGCTATCATCTCTAGACTCTTAAGGACCTAGCATTCTAATTTCTTTTTGCAATTGCATTATCTCAAGACTTTAAACTGGCTTTAAATAACAAGTTTTGTGGTCCAGGGAAAGTTGTCTACTGGGCAAGAGATTGCGGTGAAAAGATTGAAAATAATGTCAGGCCATGGAATTGAGCAATTCAAGAATGAAGTGACAGTGATCTCTAAGCTGCAACATCGAAACCTTGTAAAACTTTTGGGATACTGCATTCATGGGGAGGACCGGATACTAGTTTATGAGTACTTGCCCAATGGTAGCTTGGATTCATTTATTTTTGGTGAGTTTAACTATCGTTTTTTTTTTTTTTGCCCAACATGTGCTTGGAGAGTTGTACCGACTTCAAATCAATTTCATCAATTTTCTTTTCTCTTGTCTATTTACAAACTTAGTTATAAAAAAAAAGACACGATATATATCATATTTTCTTGTCTATGGCTTGTTTAATGATAATCATTTACCCACTATTTTGTGTGTGTTTGTGCATTTTTTTTTCACAGATACTACAAAACGGGCAGTACTAGATTGGAGAAGGCGTTCCAGTATTATTGAAGGGATAGCTCAAGGGCTGTTGTACCTCCACAAGTATTCCAGATTAAAAATCATCCACAGAGATCTCAAAACAAGCAATGTTTTGTTGGATAATGACCTGAATCCCAAGATTTCTGATTTTGGGACAGCAAGAATTTTTGGAGATGATGAATCACGTGCAAATACATTGAGAGTCGTTGGGACTAGTGAGTACCAATTCAATCTTCCTGCTTGCTAAATTCCATCTTCCCTAATTATGATAATATCAGAATGTATGGAGATTAAACTTAGTTAGTGCGGCAATGAAACAGTGGCTACATGTCTCCTGAATATGCCATGAATGGCATCATCTCTGAGAAGTCTGATGTTTACAGCTTCGGAGTCATGATGTTGGAGATCATAAGCGGAAAGAAGAACACAACTTTCAATGACACCGATGATCATTTAAACTTAGTAGGACATGTGAGTATATATCTTGACACATATACAGACAGTTACATACAATTTCTCAGTTTTTAGTTCCATACATTTTCTGAAGAATGATTGTGATCACTGACATTTTCTTGCTCCTAAACATTTGATCAGGTGTGGGATTTATGGAAAGAAGGAAGGGTTTCGGACATTGCAGATCCTAGTTTTGGTGAGACAATTGCCATGCATGAAATTTCAAGATATGTTCAAGTTGGGCTGTTGTGTGTGAAGAAAATGCAGCCGACAGACCAACCATGTCTGACGTTATTTCCATGCTAAATGGAACACTAGTCAGTCTTCGTGTTCCATATCGACCGGCTTTTTCTGCTGCTACCGGCGGCCGGAACAATGACAATTTGGTTCGGAATGCAGAACCTTGCTCCAACAATACAGTAACAATTTCGGATTTGGAGGCTCGATGACATTTTTTTCAAGCTAAATATAAAGCCATTTGTATTGTTTCTGCACTACTGGATTTTTATTTTTTTTTGTTTTTTTCCCCAGCGGTATATATCTTCTGTAATATCTTCTCATTTTTTAAGGCAAAATTTTTACGAGTCCTTTTGTCTCTATGCTTGGTACTTCTTGGAAGAGGTTTCTCTCTTATTTCCTTTGTAAACATTTTTGTGGATTCACTTTTGGTTATCAGTCTATGTTGCTTTTACATATTGTTTAAAGAAATTTAAAAGCTTTGGCACGCAGGTATACACAAGAGAAAGCTACACATGCATTGCATCACTTTAGTCTCGAAAAGACACAATTAACGTCTAAAAGAGGATCATTTTCCAAATCCCTTTTTGACCATATAACTCCGCGTGATTAACCGCACTTTGACGGGCATAATTGATTCCAAGGTTTCACTTGTAGAATAAAGGATTCAAGTGAATAGCATGAATTTAATATTTACCGGCTATGATTTCGCATTGGGCAAATTACACTTTACCCTCTGTAGTTTAATTTTTTTTTATATAATCTCCCTATGATTTCAAAAGCTATACATAACCCCCTCATGATTTGAATTAAAATATCAAAGTGATGAAAATAATCATTCGTAACGAAATCACCTAAAATTTCAAAAATACCTTTGTAAAGTTAAAAATTATTTATTAATCAAGGGGGTTATGTGTATATTTTAAAAATCATAAAGAGATTATATGATAAAGTATTAAACCATAAAGGGGTTATATGGTAAAATATAAAATCATACGGAGTTAGTGTGTCATGTATTTATAAGGGTAATTTCGATATTTTTAAAAGTTCCGTTACGAATAACCATTTCCGTCACTTTGACACTTTAATCCAAACTACGAGGGGTTATGTATAGTTTTTAAAACCATAGAAGAGTTATGTAGAAAAATACTAAATCACAGGGGTAAAGTGTAATTTACCCTTTCGCATTCTACCATATGGAGCCAGGTAAATTACACTTTAGGTTTAGTATTTTATTACATAACTCTTCTATGATTTCAAAATCTATGCATAACCCCCCTTATGGTATGGATTAAAATGTCAAAATGACGAAATTTATAATCCATAACGGAGTCAACTAAAATATCAAAAATAACCCTGTATAATTTTAAAAATTATTTATTAACTACAGGGGTAATGTATATATATTGAAAATTATAAGGGGGTTACATGGTAAAATACTAAATATAAGGTGGTTATATGGTAAAATACAAAATCATACAGGGTTAAAGTGTCATGCATATTATGTTTATATATTTTAGTCATTTCAGCCATTTTAGTTTTAAATAAGGGTAATTTCGACATTTTTATAGGTTTCATTATAGATGATCATTTCTGTCACTTTGACACTTTAATCCAAATTATAAGAGGATTATATATAATTTTAAAACTATAGGGGGTTATGTGAAAATTAGCTACATCGCAGGGGGGAAAGTGTAATTTGCCCTCTAGAGCCCCCATACTGGTATCCAACATAATTTCCCTGGCTTTCCACATTTAGCTACAGGATCACTAATCCCAGATGCATCAGCCACAACTGATCCGAATGTTGCAACAAAGGGGGGATTGCTTTGGAATGGCACAACAATTTCTTCTTCATTTTCAAGAACTTTGATGGGGGCTTCATCAACTCGATATCTGGTAGAATTCTGTGTTACAATTGAGAAAAGAAGTTATTTTGCTTTACATGATCACCATAAAAGAATGAAAATGAAGAAGAAGAAGAAGAAAAACTTAGACTCCAGTGCTTATAAGATGATATGGATATTTACGTCATAGGAGCAAGAAGATACAAATGGAATTAACCAGTGCATAATTCTTTTCTTTTTGTTTCCATTCTGGTTTTCTCTATTTGTCATTTTTCTACTTTCAGGGATTGGTGTGACAGGTACGAAAAATCTAATAATGCCATATAATACAAAATATATACTAATAACTTTAGAATTGGTTGTTTTTGTTATAAATTAAGTCATCGTGGATCATGCTAATGAACTAAGTCTCATGAAAAAAAAAAATCACAGCTATTTTATTGACGAATTCAATAGTGATCTAATGCAGGTTAAAAATTCAGGCTTATGAAGTGCTCGACCCAATACCTTTCGAGGGCTAACAAAGGGTGTATTCGAGCCGAATCGACTACTCGAGCTCGACTTAAGGTAAAATAACTAAGTTCGAGATTGAACTTGAGTTCGTCAAACTTTTAGAAGTCGAGCTTGAGTTCGAACTCGACTTCAATTTATGTTATTTGAGTTCGAGCTCGAACTCGAGTTTCATTAAATTTATTAAATCAAATCAAGTTCAATCGAGCCTATTCGAACTCAATCAAGCCTAATCAAATTCATATAATAAAAATTAATATTTTACATATAATTTTAAATAAAGGATATTATTGATATTTCACAATAATAAATATAAAAAAATTAAAATATATATTATAAAAAAATCAATTAGTCTCGTCGAGCCTTTGAGTGTAAAATATTGAAACTCGAGCTTGGCTTGCTGCTTTTATTGAGCAGTTTGAGCTCTGTCAAAATGAGCTCGAACCGAGCTATTGACCGAGTAGTTTGCAAGCTCGAGTCAAGCTATTCGGTTTAGTATCACCTAGGCCTAACACATTGTGCATTTTGAGAGCTTAACTTCAAGAATTCTCATGATCATGAAATAGTAATTAGGTCATTAATTAACCAGATTAGTCGTTTAATCGAAACTGATTTAAACTTTGATCTTAAATTTGAACTCAATAGTGTGTTTCTAATGCGTGTACATAAAGTTGGCTATGAACCATTACCTTCTCCGAGTGGCTCCATTTTGGGTGCAGAAGTGGCTCCCAAAATCCTAATCTGTGAAACTGCTTTTTAAGTTCTAGCGTTAATCACCATTCACAAAGAAATCGACTTGTCAAAAACAGGAAGCGCCACAAACGACATAAAATAATAAAATTTCTCCCTCCCCCCTCCAAATTTCCATCCTTTTCCACACGTTTTATTTGTTGGTTCTTCTTTCCATGTATATCTGTCAGACTATCACTGATACATTTTATTTTGAACTGTTGACCAGGCTTACATGAAAATTGACCTAAGAGTCAGTCCTGCATTGTATCCATTCATTTCTACGACAAATAGCTTAATAATTGCCAAAAAAAGAAAATTCCAGGTTTCCTTTTGACAATGCATCCCCTCTCGTGAATCAACAATTCTTTGGAAGGACAGGAGTGACTTGATGGTTTCCTTCATACGATAGAGGGTAACAACAATTGCTATATTTTAGTAATTAATGATTCCTAATTAATTATAATCTGCCTACCATCCGTACGATCATATTCAACATAATAAACATAGTAAAACTTTAGAAAGAGACACATGGGTATGGGCTACATGATTATGAATTTTAATAATGTATTTAGGCGGTTTAGATTATG